AGGGTTTTTTCTTATGATCTGAATATAAAACCTGAAACTATAGCCAGGTGTGATGGCATTGCAGGTTCTGGGATGCTAAGGACTCCTTCCAAAGATTCTTTCTCAGGTCTTCTTGTCCTGAACAAAGAATTGGATGAAACAAACCCAAAGGTAGTGAGGTTTTACATTTATTAAAAGTAAAAAAAGAAGGGGCTGGGGATTTAGCTCAGCGGCATAAGCACCTGCCTTGCAAGCAGGCAGTCGTGAGTTCGATCCCTGGTACCGATAAAAACGAAAAAGACAAAAAAAAAAAAAAAAGAGAGAGAGAGAGACATGCTGTGCAGAACAAAAGTAGTCCACTTAAAAGTAGGAAAAGATAAAAAAAAGTTAAAAATTAAAAAAAAAAAAAAAGTAGGAAAAGAAGTCCACTCTCCAGGGTGAGAGCAGAACACTGTGAAAGAGACAGAACAGAGGCCAAAAGTTCAGTGGTGCCATTTTGCATCTCCCATCCCTACGCCTGATGTCACATCCTGTCAAAAACTTGCTGAAGTTCTCCCCAGAAGAACAGCAGATAACAATTTCTGATTGATCCCAGGTGCAAGGCTTGGAACTGTTTTTCTGCACATATTCTGAATCTCCATGATTCACAGGGCAAACCCACTTGCCCCATCAATTTGCCACACCTTAATCTCTTGCCTGTGATACATGCCTGTAATCCCAGTATTTTGGGAGACTGAGTCAGAAGGATCAAAGTTTTGAGGCTACTGTGGGCAACTTAGCAATTTAGCAAGATCCTATCTCAAAATAGAAGAGCCCAAACACCTGCCTGGCAAGTGCAAGGTGTTGGGTTTAATCTTCCGTACACACATACACTCACACACACACACACACAATATATATTTTTATGAGGTTGGGTTGGGGATATAGCTCATCTAATAGCAAAGGCCCTGGGTTCGATCCTCAATACTAGAAAAAAAAAACTGAAACTATAAAAATCTTAGAAGAAAGCATAGGGGGAAACTTCATGACATGGGTTGGCAGTGTTTCTTGGATGACACCAAAGGTACTAATAAAGAAGGAAAAAAATAGACAAACAAGTATAATTATATCAAACATAAAAAACTTTTTCGTTCTGCAAAGGCATCAGCCAGTGAAGTCAAAAGGCAGCCTACAGAACTCATTTTGTAAACAGTGTATTGAGTGAGGAACTAATATACATAATATGTGAAGAATGCTTACAATTCATCACCAATAACCACAAACCCAGTTTTTAAAATGGGTGAAGAACTTGAAGAGACGTCACCCCGAGAAGATGCACAAATGGCCACAGAACGTGAAAAGGTACTCAGCCTTATCACTTTATCAGGGACGTGCAAGACAAAACCTCAATGAAGGGCAGGCGGAAAGGATGATAAAGGGAGACTGCTTAATGCTTATCAAAATAGAGTTAGACAGGAGAATTAAATTTGACTGTTCTACAGCATAGTTACTATAGCTGACGGTAATTTACAGTATATTTCAAAAATACTAAAAGAAAGCCAGGCACATGCCTATATTCCAAGCAATTGAGAGGCTGAAGCAGGAAGATGGCTGCAAAGCCAGCCTGGGCTACACAGTGAGTTCAAGGCCAGCCTAAACTACAGGGCAAGACCCTATCAAAAAGATAAATAGCTAATTCCTCTTCTGGGTATTTTCCCAGAAGAACTGAAAACATCATACCACAGTGATATATGTGCCTTCATGTTTATAGTAGCAAAAGTTGTATTAGCTAGATTTTGGAAACAACCTAAATGTTCATCAGGTTCTCTTGGAATGGATTTTTTAAAATATGGTATTTTTATACAATAGAGTATCACTCAGCTATACAGAAGGATAAACTTAAGGCTTTTATAGATAAATGGATGCAACTTGAGACCATACTCAAAAGTGAAATAGATTAGACTCACATGTGTAAGTATGGCATTGTTTCCCTGGTATAAAAAAACTGAAACAGTTAGATTCAAAATGTATACTAGATACTGTGAAAGTGACAGAAGAGGAAAATGATCCAAAGGAAAGAACAACTGGGATAGGGGAAAGGAGAAAAGAAACAAAAGTATATATATATTTATATGTGTTAGATACCTATACTGTTGTTAGTTCATCAAAAGAAGAGTTTGTGCTTTCATTGTTCAATTGTTTGATCGTTTTTTTCATGTCTATATCCTATAATCTATATCCTATATCCTATAATGAACAACTACTTGGAAAAATAACAATAAGCAATACATTAACTATTGTTGGGCCAGGGATTTAGCTCAGTGATATAAGCATTATGTGGCTGGTATAAGGTTATGAGTTCAATCCCTGGTACCAAAAAAAAAAAAAAACATTGTTAATCTATTATTTTGTGTTGAAATTCTGTATTATCGTTTCTATTTTTTTTTTCATTTTAAAACAAAAGAGAATTTTTTTTTCTTTTTTTTTTTTTTTTTTTTTTTTTTGAGATGGGGTCTCGCTATGCAGTCAGGCTGGCCTTGAGCTCACTTTGTATCCCAGGCTGGTCTCGAACTCGCAACGATCCTCCCACCTCAGCCTCTCGAGTGCTGGAATTACAGGCATGAGCCACCATGCCCAGCCAAAAGAGGATTTTTTAAACACTCCCAACAGAAAGAAATGATAAATGTTTGAAGTTATACATAGGCTTGATCATTCTACATTGAATATATGAGTCAGAATATCACACTGTAAAGCTGGTGAATGCCTGTAATCCCAACACTTGAGAGGCTGAGGCAGGAGGATCACCATGATATTCGGGCCAGCCTGGACTACATAATGAATTCAAGGCCAGCCTGAACTACCCTGTCTCAAAAAAAAAAAAAAAAAAAAAAAAAAAAAAAAAAAATATATATATATATATATATATATATCTCACTATACCCCGTGAATATATGTAATTGTCATGTGTCAATTAAAAATAAACCAAATCAGGTAGCAACTTATTAGGATGGTCACTATCGAAAAACATAAAATAAAAAGAATACAGCCAACATGATAATGAATAACTGAAAGGCTAAGGCAGGAAGACCACAACTTTGAGCCTAGCCTGGGCAAATTAATGAGACTCTGTCTCAAAAGAAAAAATAAAAAGGACTGGAATATAGCTCCGGGTACAATGCCCTTGGGTTCAATTTCTAGTATCAAAGAAAGAAATAAAAATGAATATAACAAATCCTGATGAGAAAGTAGAACCTTCGTACAGTCTTGGTGGAAATGTGAAATGGTGCAAAGTTGTGGAAAACAGTGTGAAAGCGTCTCAAAAAAAATAAAATAAATTTCTAGAGAAGTTCTAGAAGTTACTTTTAATGAGTGTCTTTATCAAATGTGATCAAAATGCAGTCAGTGAATGCCATTGCCAAGTGCCATCCAAGAGAAGTCAGGCTGGTAAAAACGTTACAATGAATCTTCATTCACCTTATTCTCAAGATCAGGTACCATGCATCTCTCGACCCTCCGTCAAGGTCAGAATGAACATAGAGGATAAACAGTTTTAATTCATTCAGGACAATGAGGCGGCAGCAGCTGTGTGACAGAAACACTCATGATAGAGGATTTCTGAGAAGAATAATGGGATGGTTGTGTTTGAAATGAGGGGAAATATTTTGGGGGATTAATGGTAATGTCTTTTACTGTACTAATTTTTTAACTTAAGAATTCATGGGGCTGGAGATTTAGCTCGGTGGCATAAGTGCCTGCCTTGCAAGCAGGCAGTCCTGAGTTCGATCCCCAGTACTGATATAAAGAAAAAAGACCAAAAAAAAAAAAAAAAAAGAATTCACTGTACTTTTCAATCATACCTAATAAATAAACTCACAGGAACAGAAAGCAGAATGATGTTTACTGGGATAGAGGGAAACAGGGCTGTTCAGTACATGTAGAATAACAGTCATGAAGATGATAAAGTGTTAGAGCTGTCGTATACTATGATGTACATACGTAGCCTATAGTTTGATAATCCAGACATCAAGGCCAGAGAATCACATCAGCCTGGGGTCTTGAGGTCAGTGTGGGTAAACCATTAAAAAAATTAAAATTAAAAATAAACTTAACCACAATATGCATATAGTTGATAGCACTGTAACATACACTTAAAAGTAGGGTGAATTTATATTGTTGGGGGTTTTGTTGCCAAGATGGATAGATGGAAGATGGATGGATGGATGGATGGATGGATGGATGGATGGATGGATGGTGTAGCTGGGCAGATGGACAGACAAATGTATGGACAGACAGAAGGACAGATGGATGGATGGATAGATAGATAGATAGATAGATAGATAGATAGATAGATAGATATCTCATACACACAAATGTGAACAGATTCTCTAGCACACACACGAAGGACATGCCTTTCTCTTTTCATTGGGGAAAGGTTATTGTCCTGGGGAGGTGGGAAAAGAGGGCAATGCAATACCTGGACCAGCCAGGAAGAAGAATTTTAGAAGGCTGAACATGCATATATAAATACGCCTGTGCATCTTTTTAGGAATTCTTAAACTTGGGGTACATTGCTCCCATCTGGAAACCCCCAATCCAAAGCACTGAAAGCTATTTTCTTCTGTCAAATGCAAGAGAGAAATAGAAACTGTTGTTATTCCCTCCAGCGGCTGCAAGTTGTTTCCTTTTTCCCTCTGGCCTCCCACACTCTTCTCCTTTGTAGCCCTGCTTTCCTATCCCACAGCTCTGTGGGGTATTAGAATAACCTACTGATGAGGTATGGAGCCTCCATACTATGCATGGCCCTTCTTACAGAAGTGCAGTCACAGCAAATCACACCTACTGTGTGACTGACCATGAATCTAAGTCTGTGTTATAAGAACCTGGAGATGGCAGCAGTTCCTGGGATCCAGGGGCTGTGGCTTTCATCTTGCTCTGCCTTTGGGGTCTCTCTCTGAGATTCCTCCTGGCCTCAAGGTTCAGGCAAAGACCACCAAGGAGTATGAAGAGTTTAACAAGCACCATTAAGGGACCAGACAAGAGGATGCAAACTCCAAATCCAGCCTTTATTGCCACTATTTCAGTGACTGAGCAGAGGGAGGCACTCAGTGCTGTGTAGCTCATTCCCAGACAGAGGCTGCTGGAGGGGAGTCCCTGAAGGTGCTTCTCCCCTCCACCCCACTCCAGGAAGTGCTGAGGGGAAGGGCAAGGTCTCCGCTGCTGCCACCAGGAACAGCAGAGACCTCATCAGTAAACTTGCCTCTGGGTTTCAGGACAGACCCAGAATCAGGGAAGAACTGGACATGAGCATCAGGTATTGGAAGGGCAAATGAACTAAGCAGATGAGGAAATATTGGGGGTCCCCACCAGCATTGAAATCTCATAGAGGAGCCCTGAGGGTCTGCTGGCTCCAGGGACTGAGACCCTGAGGAAAGCATCCTCAGACTGAGACACTCACAAGGGACCCTGACATCTCCCGGACACTGTTCAGCAAGGGTCGGGAGACATCCAGAGGGAGAAGGAGGAAAGGGGCTGGAAGGGCCACAGAGACTGAGGGAGGCTGGGACACCAGGGCCAGGAGGTCGGGCCTCTAGCACTGCTGCTCCTGCTCACGGATGAGGTTGGCAATGGGGCTGGTGATGCCGCCTATCAAGGTCCAGTACTCGTCAAAGCTGATGCGCCCATCATGGTTGGCGTCCAGGTCCTGGATAAGCTTGTCAGCAGCCTTTCGATTTCCTGTGTCCTGCAGGGGAACCAGGGGTCAGAAATACTGCAAGCAGCAGCCCCAGTGAGCCTCCATATAGAACACATGGCAGAGTCCCAAAATGGAGCCTTGGGCAGCTGTCTCCCGAGAAAAGGCAAACAGAGCCCTCACTGGCTCAGCCTGGGCACCGTGAGAAGACAGAGATCTGTGGGGGCACCAAGGGGATCCTAGGGAAGAGCACTCAGAGGAGGCGGGAAGGGGAGAGGCCAGGCCCACAGGAGGGGGGCACACCGTCAACATGTGGTTCAGCTCTTTCTGGAGCATCTTGCGGAAGCTGCTCTTGCTGATCTTGTTCTTGACTAGGCTGTGCTTAGACACGTATTTATAGAAGTTCTCCACCAGGACAACGACAGCCTTCTCCAGCTCCGTGTAGCAGTCGGCCATCTTCCTCCTTCAGCTCCTCACTGGCCTGGACATCATAAGGAAGGAGATGAGAAGACACCCCATAGGCCAAGCCTCCAACCGGTGCCTAGCCTTGGCCCTCAGCAACCCCAGGACAACTGGTCCTCTGGAAAAGGGAAGGGGTGGGAAAGAGAAACACAGAGATTGGTGGGGGTGGGCTGGAACGACAGCTATGTGGTTCCTCTAATCCAGATACTTCCCAGACAAACTGCCAGGACAGGTTCTCCGGGTCCTTCCCCAGCTCTGGGCTGCCACTGCTGACTCAGAGAGCAAGAGATTTCAATGGGAACAGAGGAGGAGGGAACTGCCTAGCCCTGCCTGCTGATTGCACTTAGCCTGGAGACCTAGGGCTCTGCGGGCAAGCACAGCTAGCAACTGCTAGGATGGGCCAAGGCAGACAGGGACCAGGCAGATGGGGGTCAAGGCTGTGGAGCTCTGTCTCCAACCCTCAGGGCAGCAGAAATCCCAGCATCAGGTAACAAAGGAGGAATCAGGGTCCTAGGAGAACCCCAACCCCTTCTCCAGGCTCCAAGGCAGCAAATCCTGGGACTCAGGCTATGGCTACCCTTCTCCAGGAAAGAACAAGACCCTGACCCAAACAATTAGATTTTGTGCATCACACCCACACTCTGCTAGCCTTCCCACCCACCCAACCACCCCCAGATAGACAGTAGGACACAAGGTCACCCGCAACTCCATTACCTAATGAAGAACCAGGCCTGGTTCTGCCACAGCTGAAGACAGACCCTGGACACAGCAGCTGCAACTCTGTCACCCTCTAATGCAAGGACAAAAGGCACTCACATTCCAAACGGATGTAGCTTCTGAATAACAGGATATGAGGGGAACAGGCGGATCTACTCTGCGAGTGGCCGCCTATGCCCAGAGCCCTCCCAAGTCAACCCTGGCAAATCAGACTCCCCTCCCACCTTCAAGCCAAGGAATGAGCTCCAGTCGCCTTCTCTCAGCTGGTCATAGCAAGGGGAGGTGGACACAGAGAGGACACAGCCTCCTGCTGTACAGGCCTGCACACGCACAGTCTGATGTAGAAGGGAGATTCCCTTTGCCAGATCCTGCTGCCACCTCCCGCCCCTACCGCTTGCTTTCTGCTCTCCAAGATCACTCTTACTGGTCACTCTTACTGCCGTGCCTGTTGCTGGGTCCCCTCCGCCAGAAACCATCTCTTGGCTCTGGCCCTGCTCAAGCCATGCCTTGACCGCTGCACTTGGTGCACTCTCCCCTGATTCCCAGACACATCCATGAGCACCTGCTGGGGCCACTGAATTGTCTGAACCTAACGGCAAAGCTCATGGACTTGACAACACCTCTGAATCTTGACAGTTCAACTGCCTTGCTCTTTGGCTCTGGGTCTCCCCTGGCCTCGTGCCTTGCTTGAGGGAGGTATTCTAGAAATACTGCACCCTCTTTCAGCCTTATTAGGCCTTTGATCCCTTTTCTAAGCTTTTTCTGTAAGGAGCTTCTTCCGAGGGAAGCATGAGAGTAGGAAGGAGTAAATAGGCCAGGATGCAAACGCTGGAAAAGGAGAGGGGACAGGCTGGGGCCTGTCTGTTGGGAAACCCTCCCTCCTGTCCCGCAGCAACCTGACCTCTCTGGTCTGTGGCTGGAAGGATGACATCCAACACTGGGACTGCTGGGAGCCACAATCTTTCCACACTCTTTATTTGCTAAATGTGAAACTGTGTGGTTCAGTTTTTGTCCCTTGCCATAAATCTTCTAACTTTTAACATGTAAGGAAGAAAAATTTTTTTCAACTATGCTGCCCTTGAAGGGGTGAGAGTGGCCCAAGCCCGTGATCAGCATTTCTGGCAATTCTGGAAACTGCCCATTTCAGGAAGGACTGCACCAAGCTCTTCCACAGCAAGCCTTGGGAGAGGGGGAGCATTTGGAAACCTCCCCCCACCTTAGCCATTCTAGACACGTTTCTTCGAAGAGGGATCCCATGGAGAAGAAAAGGAGGAGAGAAAGAGAAGAAAAAGATGGGTGTTTTGAGCGCTGCACCTCTGCTGCTCTGCCTGAGGACCATCCCCTCTCCTTCCACCTGCTTTTCTTCAACCCGTCCCAAGTGCTGCCTGACCTCTGGACACACAGAGCACCCAAAAGCCAGCTTAGCTCCCTGCCCTCAAGAGTGCTGGGTGATTCAGAGATGTTCACTTCAGTGTCCCTGGTCTTGCATCCCCAGGGGCTCCCAAGAATCCGCCTCTCCATACCTGCTTCTTCTAAAATGGCCAACGCTGAAATAACCATCTGACTGAGTGCTTTTCCAAAGGTTTTTCGGAAGGCAGGGCAAAGCGGGCCCAGCAGGTGTCATTACTTTCTCCTGCCTTCCCTGGGAGCCAGGAGACAGGCTCTGCCACCCCACCCATCACACAGCCACACAGTCTTGCCAGCGGTTAGGCTTGATGATCCCAAACATGGAGGAAAGGCAAACGTGCTGTCCCATAAGCTCTGCCCCAGAAAGGCGCCCAGAAGGTCATTCCTGCTTTGATTTTGCCACCAGCAGATATGAGCCTGACAATGGGGGTGAGGAGGTGAACAGCACACACTGGTGCCTTCCAACAATCAGAAGCAGAAGGATGCTGGTCCCTCAGAGGGACCGCTGGCCTCAGGCCCCTCCCCTCCCCCAGTTCTCATCATCTCCCCTCGGCTGATTCATCATTGAGCAACAGGAGGCTCCTCCCCCCACCCACCTGAACCAGCCTGCTGACTTCTCCAAAAGCCCAAATTGCCCTGACATCATGCCCTTGCCCCTCAGCCACCACCACTGCAGGCCTCTACTCTCGCCCCCAGGTTCTGGCTCCCACTCACTCCCAGTGCCTGCTAACCACCCCCAGCTCTCCAACTCTCTTTAGTGTGAATCCGGAATGTCTGTTACATCCTCCAAAGTTAGCCCCCTCCCCACAGGTGTCTTTCATTTTTTATCTTTCCCTGGAATGTGTCCCTAGACTCTTGTTCCTGTTAGCCACTGTCCTCACTAGAGCCTAGCCCCTTTCTGACATTCTCTGTATCTGTTCTCCCTACCTCAAATCCATTACTTGCCATTCATTTGTTGGCACACTCATTCCCTGAATCATTTATTCACTCTCATTCATTCTCTTACTCATGCACTAAGGCATTCATCCTCTCATTTATTCATTCAGTGGTTGCCTTCACTCACTTGGCCCAAGTACTTTCAACACGCAGGAAGGTGCAATCTGACCTGGGCTGATAATGCAAGCTCCGTCTGCAAGCCCAATTCAAAAGAATCTCTCCAAGCTCAGTAGACCCCTTCTCTGCTCCTGTACATGCTTTGCTTTGTTTGTTCATTCATTTGGTTGGTTGAGTAATTGGTTGCCAGTTGTTTTTTTTTTTTTGGTTTTTTTTTTTAGACAGGGTGCTATGTGTAGTTCAGGCTGAGTTCACTATGTAGTGCAGGCTGGCCTCAAACTCACAGTGATCCTCCTGCCTCAGCCTCTCAAGTGCTGGCATTAAAAGTGTGCACCACCATGCCCAGCAGCTGGTTGGATTTTTTGAGACAGGATCTCACTATGTAGCACTGCCTGGCCTTGCACTCTCTCTCCTGCTGGCTCAGCCTCTCAAGTACTAAAATTATAGGCATGCACTACCATGCCCAACTTGCACACTTTTCCCAGTTACACAAGGCTAATTGTTCACACAGGTGCCTCACCCTTCCTCACCTCAAAGGACTCAGTTTCTCATTCACACAAGGAGAGGGAAGAACTCTACCATTCCTTAACCCCTCTGTGTAGATAATCCATTTACCTACTACCCACTTTCACTTTTAGAATAAGAGTTGGATTCCTCTCAAATTTTTCCAGACAAGTGAAATTGGAGGAGTTTGATATGGGGAGACACACACACATACACACACACACACAACTACTGCTAGCCTGAGCAACACTGAGACAGCTCTCCGCTAGTCCATGAGGAATGGTTGAACCCCCCCCCCCAACACACACACACATACATGCATCACCCTGCCCTCAGCTGCACTGGCCAGAGGAAGGTTTGCATAATGCAGGTGGCTCCCCCAGAAAAGGCAAAACAAGTCAAGCAAGAACCTGCCTGGGTCCTAAAGTGGAGAAGCAGCCAATTTCAGGTCCAGCCCCCTTCCTTTTCTCTCTCCCTCTCCCAGGGAGCTCCCAGGTTTCTCCGAAGGGCCTCACCCAAGCACCTCCCAGGGAACCGTTCCTTAAACCAGAGCGGCCTGTGACTGGGATCTTCCTGGATTTTCAGAGAAAAGCCGCCTCAGCCCCTGCCTCCTCTCTCAGTCCCCTTGGGCCCTCCCTGGCTCCTCCTGGGCACCATTACCTGTACCCCTACCCGGGACACAGCTCCTAGAGCCCAGTGAGGCCTGAATCCAAGTCTAAAGAGCCCCCACCCCCACCAACACACACTTGCTGTTTTCTGTCTGGGAAGGATGGCAGCTGTGGACAAAGTTACAGAGCGCTCTGCTCTGCCCACTGTCCCAGTCCCTGGAGAGGAGCCCAGTCAGGCAGCTGCCAGTCTGGGAGAGGGTCTCATCACCCCCCAAGCACTCCACCCAGTCTTCCCTTTCCCAAACTGGCCATTGGAGAAAGTTAATAATTGACAAAATCTTTCTTTGCAATCTCAGCCAGGACCCTTCTGCCCAGGTCCCCTTAAAACCCCTTCTCCTGGCCTCCCAAGCCTGCAGGGTCCCTCGGTCAACCCCGCACCTCCCAGGCTGGTCCTGGGGTTCTCACCTGCTTCCTTGGTCCACCTCCTGTCCAGAAGGGCTCTGGGGTCCAGGCTCTGGCACTGCCAAGCAGCTCCCCAGCTTAGCCCAGCCAGGACTCCTCCCTGCTGCGCTACACTCCCGGACTCTGTCCCACTCCCTCTCGGCCTGCCCGGCTGAGCTGGCTCGGTGGGGAGGTAGTGACTGAGCTCCCTCTTGGCTTGGCCTGGGGTTGGGCCCTTGTTAAAGGGATACACACCTTTTTTAACAGCCTTGTACCCCAACACGAGACTGAGTGGTAGAAGCTGGCCCTCCCCAACTCCACCCTCCCAACCCCTCAGGGCCTGAGTGGAACCTGACAGGGTGGAGGAAGGAAGGGAAGGACTGGCACCTCTCCTTCTCACCTGGGTCACTGGAAGGCCAGTTTCAGGGGTCCCCAATGGACAAGTTCATTAGCCTTCCAAGCCAGCCTGACTGTTGTACTCTAGAAAAAATACTGACCACAGAAACTCCCTAGCTGTTGGGATTTCAGGACTAACACCTGATTTCATAGATTCCCAGAGGCTGGCTCTGGTCTTCCCTCTCCAGTTCAACCCAACCTGAGCTCCCCTGAGACGCTTCCCCAAGCCCTCATACACAGCAGGGGGCTCTGTGCAAACTGCTAGCTTTCCTTCAGGTAACCTAGAAAATGGCAGCTGCACCTCCCATAGAGGACCACAGACAAACCAGAGAGGATCCCTGCCCCACCTCCCCAGTGGTGTCCACAGATACTGGCTGTGTCCATCCATGGGATGAGCCATGCCACCCTCCCAGCACTGCTACAAGGGCAGGACTGTCCACACTCCCACTTTACAGGTAACGTATGCCAAGAGCACACCCAGACTTTCACAGACGCAAGTGTAGAATGAGGATTCAAAATGGCAGTGCCTGTTCCCCAGCCCCATGTCTTCCTCACCATTAGTCGGCCAGGCCTCAGGACACATGGACTCGTGTCCTTTCCCTCAGATGCTGGGGCACAAGCATGTACACCCCCATCTCTTATCCTGGGCCACATGCAGGCACACTGGCCCTCAGGGAGAACTGGCTTTGCCACTTTTGGGTCTGCACAACCTTCCACCCAAATCCATGGAAAAAGTGAGTTCTTGGTCACTTCCATTGCCAAGCTTCCTCTGACTCACCTCAAGAACCCCAGACTCAGTCCCCAAGAGCCCTTCTCTGAGGGACCCTAAGGGTATCCAATCAAGACATCTACTTTTTTTCAAATTTTTTATTAATCAAATGATACAAAACAGTAACAATTTTGTAAATGTCCAAGCACCCCCAAAATCCTCCAACCCCAAAATCACACCTTCCTCAGCCTCTTCTCTGAGCCTGCTCCCTTCTCTCCTTCCCTAGACCAAGGATAGAGGCCAGGGTGGAGGCCAGGACAGGGCTGGATGGAGGAAGGGGGATGATACCAGACAGCCAGCTACAGTTTAGCTTGGAGAGGAGACAAAGAGGAGAAGGTTCTCAGATACCCTGTCCAGTACCAATGTCTAGCCACATTCCCAGCCTATTCTCCGAACCATGTCCCATAGCCCAGGTCCTCTCTGCCCTTGCCCTACTACCAAATCACTTGCCCTTACATCACCCTTGTTCCTCTGTACCTCCCCCCCCCCCAATCCCCAACCTTTTCCTGAGCTTCCCTTAATGAAAGGGCTCCTAGACCCATGAGCTCCCAGGACAGAGTGCACAAGCCCTGGGAGAGGCAGTTATGACCCAAACCTTGCAAGGATGAGGAGGTGAGGATGGGGAATAGTGGGATAATGCTGGAGAAAAATTTTATTTCCAAGCCCACAGTCTCTAAAATGCCCTCTCCCCAACATGCCCCCAAGAATCCCAGGAGGGGGTCTTCAACTCCCCGAAACAGGACTGTCCAGCTTCACGCTCTTGGCTGCTTCTCCAATCAGCTCCCAGAAGCTTCTGAACTCCAGTTTAGAGTCATTACAGTTGCCCAGGTTGGCAATTTTCTCTTCCAACCCACAATTGCTCTGAGGGGAGGGAAGATACCATAGCTCAGCAAGGTGGTATTTTCAGATCTTCCCACCCCACCCTGCCTGGGAGCAGGCAACCAGGGCCTGAGCCATCTGGCACTGGCTAGAGGGAAGGCTTGGGTTGCCAGTCCCAGCATGGGTAAGTCCTGGGGCACTTGCTTGGGAAATCAGAGGACTGTGGGGGTGGAGTCTATGCTTAGTACCGGCATGAGGTGGGGCAGTTGCTGAGTGACCAGGTCCCTGAGCTCAGATGGAGTCAGAGTCTTCTTCCCACCCTCCACTGAGTATTGGTGGAAGTTCTTGATGAGGGTCTCGATGGCCCTTTCCACATCACTGAATTCCTGGGCATCCTAAGGGCAGGAGACAGAACATTAGGGTGCACAACCCACCCCTCAACAGACACACTGTTTCTCTAGGAGCTTGGCCCAACAGAGCAGAAGCCAGCTGGAAGGCAACCACTCTGCCCATGCCACCCCCTCTCCTTCACCCCTGGCCCAGCCTCCAAGGCCACTGTGGCTCCTGCTTTAAGCCACGGATCAGGCAAGGCCTCCCTCCTGACCCCCCCAGCAGTAAGAAGAGCAGGTCCCAGCACTATCCAGACATCCTCCAGGACTCCATCCATACCACCATGTGTGGCATCAGGGTCTGGGCACAGGGCAGGCAGTGTGACAGGCACAATCCTAGGGAACATATTCCTTCAGAATGGAGGGGAGGAGCGTAGAGACAGAAAGCCAGATCAGGAGTGAATGGGCCTACCTCTGCGTTGGCTGACCGACACTGTCCCATGGTGCCCAGGCACTTGGCCCTTTGGTGAGAAATGCGTCGTCCTACAGCCTGCCTCAGAGGAGCTGATGGCTCATGATCTACCTAGAGGAGGGAAGCCGTGAGGTGAGAGGAAGATCAGCCTCCTTTCTCAGTGTCTCCCTTTGGCTCCACCACGCCCTTCTACCTCCCTGAGGTGTCACAGGGACTCCACACAGCCCCAGTTCCTCCCCAGGCTCTAGGAGTAAAGCCTCACCCAGGTAGAGGGACTCCCTTAGGCCTCACTTTGGCCTCATTTTCCCCCTTGCTCCCCAAATCACCTGAATGCACACACCCCAAGCTCCAGGGCCCAGTCCCCAGCTCTGCACTAGAAGACACAGTAAGCACAGACACAGATCCCCCCTGGACACCTACCAACCTAGACAATGTAATGACTCTAAACAGGAGTTCAGGAGCTTCCAGACGAAAAGCCCTGTGTCTCCTTACCTGCTAGCAGCTGCTGAGATTGGACAGAAGGAGCCAGCTCACCTGGGCTCAGCTCATATACCTCAGGGAAAGGAGGTGAGGCAGAGGGGCGGGCTGGGCCTCATCCCTCAGCCACCCCTGCTGTGCTGAGCCTGCCCAGGCTGGGAGCCAGCATCTTGGGCCCCACCCTCCATCAATCACAGCACAGAGCCTGTCCTATCCCTGCCTGGAGGAAGGAGTCATGGAGGGCTGGGGCTGGGATAGGCCTGGCCCCAGACCAGCCATGGAGTCACAAGAACAGAAGAGAAGGGGGGCGAGGGCACAACACAGAGGGTTAGAGATACTGTGGTGAAAGAGAAGGTCTCAGTAACTAGGAAAGAAGGAACAGCAGGATTGAGAACAGAAGATGACAGAAAGAGATCCAGAGAGAACCTCTGAGAGCCCTGTATGGCTCTCTCTCTCTCTCTCTCTCTCTCTCTCTCTCTCTGTGTCCTCCCAAACAAGGCCAATTAATTTAAATAGTCACGCTCAAGCCTATCCAAATCTCAGAGGCTTTCCCAGTCCTGATGGCAGACAGATGAACGGGAGAGGAAGAGCCTGGGAAGCTCGGCCTGGTAGAGGGAGCCACACAGCTGGAAGCTGACTTCCTATCAGCCTTTGGTGCACATATTCAAGGCCCAGATGAGTTACCAGGCAGCTGACAACCTCTCCAAACTGTTCAGGAGACAAGCCCTGCCTCCATCGAGTCCCATGTCTGCCCTACCCCAGCAGCAGCCTGCAACACCCACCCTCCAATCCAGTGCCCAAGGTGTCACTCTAAGGACCTGGATGGTGCTAACCTAAGTGGCCTCCTCACCTGCTCAGGTTCAGTGGGGTACTCTGCTTGGGTCAGGGAAGGATGGGTGGGGCCCAGAGCCAAAGCTCCTGGCTGTCTTTGCTGAACTTTGAGATCAGAGTGCATGTCCCATGTCTAGGGCTCCCCTGTACTTTGGGTCTCCACTTTCAGAGGCTCCCATGTATGAGGGTCTCATTCTGAGTTTTGTGAAGAGCTTCACTTTGGGGACCTCCCCTGAAGATCTGCCCATCTGAGAGTTTCTCAGACCTAGTTTGGTGTGCAGACCTCTGAGCAGTCTTGGCCAAGGGTATCTCATTAATCCATCCCTCCTTACCCGGAGCCCCTCTGAAATGTGTGCCAACAACAGCCAGCCTGGGAGTCACTCTGAGATCAATGTCTGGGGGCCCTCAGTGGGTGACACAGCTCCATCAGGAGCCCTTTCACAGTGTCCGATCAGGGCTTGTCTCAGCCCAGAGCTCCTCTGGACTCCTTGCTGCCCCCAAGGACACAGGCAGCTGTGGCAGTAACCGACAGCCCCACCCTACCCTGCCCTGCCCTGCCCCCTGCTCTCTCTGGAGATGCCAGCAAACTGCAAGCCCTCAAGCCGGTAAACCACAGGAAGGGCAGCAGCGCTGTGCCCACCAGTGCTGGTCCCTGCAGCACCACCATGCCTAGAACAGCGTGGATGATCCTCTCCCGGGCTTCGCCCTTGCTGGGGAGGGAGAGAGTATCCTTGTGGGGAGGGGGGTGAGTCAATGGCTCTGGAATCTCAACCCAGTTCCAGTTATTCTGGTCTTTGTAGCTTATCTGTTTCTCCACCTCCAGTATAGGTTTTAAAAATACTACCTGAGCTGGGTGTGGTGGGGCATACGTGTAATCCCAGCACTTGGAAGGCAGAGGCAGGATGGATCTCCACGAGTTCAAAACCAGCCTGAATTACATAGAGAGGCCCTGTTTCAAAAACAACAAAAGAAAAACAAACTACTTACCAGAGCCAGGGATAGTGGCACAAGCCTGTGATTCCCACACTCGGGGAGGCTGAGGAAGAAAGATTACAAATCCAAACCCAGTCTGGGCAGTTTAGTGACTGAGGGAGGCCCCGCCTCTAAATAACATAATAAAAAGGGCTATGGATAGGCTCAGTGAGGAGGTCCTACGATCAGTTTCCAGTACAGTAAATAAAATACTACCTCCATATTGAGGGCTGTGAGAATTAAGATAGTGTAGATAACATGTTTTGGGGGACTTGTTTTTTTCTTTTTGGTTTTTGTTTGTCTTTTGAGACAGGGTCTCAAATGTAGTTCAGGGTGGCTTCAAACTGGCAGAGATCTTCCTGCCTCAGCCACCCAAGTGCTGGGATTACAGGCACACAACACCACACCCAGCTGAATGCAGGTAAAATATTTAACCTGTGCTTGACATGCTAAGCCTGTGACACATATTCCATGCCATCACTGTCATCAGGGATAACTCTAAGAATAAGACAGGAAACTGGAGCCAGAACACTGCTCAGCCACAGGAAGCACCTGGTGAAATATAAGCCACCTAACCTGCCCTCAATTCCGTTATCTTTTGTGTATTCATTAATCAACCATTAATTTATTGAGCACCTACTCAGTATAAGACCTGCTATTAGACCCTGCAAAATATTTGAAGATAAATAGTGTTCCCTGTCTTCAAGGAACTCATAATGTTCAGGCTCACCCTCAGTCAAGGCAGAGCTTTCCTATGCCCTGGTCTCAAGAGAAGAACCCAGGGTGGAATGTGAATGAGAAACATTTGTTTCAAGATGGAAGCTTTATTTGGAGGTTGTGGATTCAGCCCGGCTCTGCCCAGCCAGTGGGCGCTTTACTTCTTCCGGATCTCCAGGACCTTCTCCTTCTTGATTTCCTTGGCCAGCTCGCCAATCAGTCTCCAGTATTCATTGAACTTGAACTCCGAGTCCTGATTTACATCCAAGCTCTTCATTTTATCATCTAGGGAGCCCACATCCTGAGGAGACACAAAAGAGAAAGAAAGGGTTAAAATCAGGGCTTGTTAGCCTAGCATGGCGATGCACACCTGTGATCCCAGCACTGTGGGAGGCTGAAGCAGGAGCATGAAAAGTTCAAGTCCAGCCTGAGCATCTTAGCAATTCAGCAAAAATCCATCTCAAAACAAAACTTTTAAAAAGAACTGGGGATATAGCTCAGTGAAAAGGCCTTGAGTTCAAGCCCCTGTACTAGGGATCAGAGGGAGAAACAGAGAAAGCAAAAACATAAGGAGAGGGAAGAATCACCATTTGCCTTTTTTTGAAGGCCTTTCCCTCACACAGCACCCACACTCACCCTTACCTGAAGGAGGAAGCTGCAGCCCCAAACTGCCCTTCCCCAGGGTTCTGATTCCAAAGAGCGCCCACACAGAGAAGGAAGGTTTGACTCATAGTTTTTGGCTGATCATGAACTATAAATATGAATCACTGATGCAGGGAAGATTTGTACACAAGCTGTCCTGGCCTACAGGTAGGAGCTAGCCCAAAACACTTCACTGGAAGAAAGATAGCCTCTAACAAATAGCGCTGGGAAAACTGGCTTCCCACACACCAAAGGCTGACCCATGTCTCTCACCACACACTAAACTAAAATCAAAATGGATCAAAAATCAAAATATAAAAAACAGAAGAAGTTTTACTTCGTCTATCTTCTAGGAATAAGACGGGGAAACTGGCGTCAGAACAATGCCAGAAAAGTGAAAACACAGGTGTAGGAAAAGACCTTAGGAACAAAACCCTAATCGCACAGGAAATAATACAATGAATCAACAACTGGGATCGCATCAAACTAAAAAGCTTTTGTGCAGCAAAAGAAACCATCAGGAAGAGTTAAAGAGACAACCCATAGAATAGGGAAACAGTTTTACCAGCTATACCTCAGAAAAAGGACTATTATCTAGAATATGTAAAGAACAACAACCTGCAGGGAATTTAGCTCAGTGGTACTTAGGCACGAGGTCATAATTTCGATCCCCATATCAAAAAAAAAAAAAAAAAAAGAAAAAGAACAAAATAGGTATCTGAAATGAATACATACTTCTCAGATGAAAAAGTATAAACAGCAAATAAATATATGGAAAAAGAATGTTCAACATCAACATTGAGAATTGCAAATTAAAACAACACAGAGATTCCATCTTACTTCAGAAAGAATGGCTATCATCAAGAAATCACCCAATAACAAATGCTGGTGAAGCTGCCAGGGAAAAAGGACCCTTCTCCACTGTTGGTAGGAATGTAAACTGGTACAGCCACTATGGAAATCAGTATGAAGAATTCTCAAAAAACTAGATGTTCCATTTGACCCAGCTATTCCCCTTCTAGGAACCTTCCCAAAAGAATTAAAATGATGCATACCATAGTGACATGGGCACACCCATGTTTACAGAAGCATAATTTATAATGGCTAAATCTTGAAAACAGCCCATACACCCATCAATGGATGAATGGATAAAGAAAATGTGGTATTTATCTACATTGGAATATACTCTACAGCAAAGAAGGATAAACTTGAGTCATTTGTAAGTAAGTGGAGGTACCTTGAGACCATCATTTTAAATGAAGTAAGACACACGAGTTTGCCTGTAATCCCAGCACTCAAGAAACCTGGCAGGAGGACTGCAGAGAGTTCAAGGCTAGTCTGGGCTACATGCTGACATCCTGTCTCAAAAACAAAACAAATGTATGGAAAGAAAATATTGGAAACACAGCCTCTGTAAATGGGGAGTAAATGGAGGATTGAAAGGAGAGGAGGGTAATTGAAATTTTAAAAATTAAGATATATTATGTACAGGTACAAATTCCTCATGATGAATGCTGAATGCAGGCATTATGTCTGGCAAACATATTAATAAAAAAATTTTAGAAAAAGAGCTTCCCCAGCACCCCTGCATTTTGAGACTGACCCCAGAATGCTCTGGGAGCCTTCATGGGGCAGGATCCAGTCAGACAGCATGCAGCTGCTCATCTGTATAACGCTGCTGTCCTCTCCTGTGTCCAACAGGGTCACTGCCTGCTAGCCTAGGGGAATGGCAAAGACCAGGCGTTGGTTTTCCAGGAAGACCCTGACAAGGTCCCTTGTGGTGGGCCTGTGAAACCAAAGAACACTGTAGGCCAGACTTTATGATGGATTTGTTGCCAAGTTGGGTGTGGTGTTGCATGCCTAGAATCCCAGCTGGGAGGCTGAGGCAGAAGGATCAAACATGTGAGGTCAGCCTGGGCAACACAGTGAGACTCTGTCTCAATATAAAAAATAAATAGGCTAAGGATGTAACTCAGTGGTAGAATGTTTGCCTAATATCTGTGAAATCCTGTGTGGGTCCAATCCCCAGTATATTCCAAAGAGGGAGGAGTGCTGCCAGGAAAAGATTACAATCAAAAAGCTGATGGTAGAACAGAGTCACTGTCAGACTGGGAGCCTCTGGCAGAGCTCCTTGCAGAACACTGGGGATCAACGTTTGAATGAAGCCACATACTAGTAAGGCACAAAGCTAATTTATAGAAGAGCCAACCAAGACACTTTTAAAAGCCACAGTCATCTTAATTGTAAAATACATACGCCCCGCCAGCAGGAGGCAAGAATGGCTAGTGTAACCATGTCTGATTTCACAATTTCAGGCTTTTTTTTTTTTAGTTTAGATTTAGACATTTATCTTTATTCTTTTACAAGATCCAAGAAGATTGCTGTCTAGACATGGAAGATAACAACCAGGAAACTGACAAGTATGTTCCATTCTCACATGAGACCCATTACAAGACACCACCTCCCCAACAGGGTGCTCTGGAATGCAAAGTAGAAAATCCTGGACAGAAGAAACTCAAATAGGAAAAGACAGACTTTAAAACAATCCGCAGCCAGGCGTGGTGGCTCACGCCTGTAATCCCAGCACTCAGGAGGCTGACTCAGGAGGCTAAATGCAAGTTCAAGACCAGCCTAGGCTACAAAATGAGCTGAGGGCCAGCCTGAACTGCATAGTGAGACCCTGTCCCAAAAAGACCAAAAAAAAAAAAAATCCACATAATTTCAGGCTTTATGCTAAACATATTAAGGGCTTTATTTACTTTGATCCCCATACTTCGCTAAGAGAAAAGGCTTTGTGTGCACAGAGACCCTATCTGTCTTTGTTTTTTGTTTTTTTTTTTTTTTTTTTGTCTTTTTCCTTTTTATGGATACCAGGGATTGAACTCACGACTGCCTGCTTGCAAAGCAGGAGTTTATGCCACTGAGCTAAATCCTCAGCCCCAAGACCCTATCTGTCTTGTTCACCACTATAATTCTAGTGCCAGGGTGAATATCTGGAACACAGTGGCAACCTGTTCACCTCTGTCACTCAAATCTAGGACAGCATCAGCACAGCACAGAGCAAGTGCTCAATAAACACTGGTGGAAAAAACACAACACCAATTCAGTGAGGGAAAAACTAGGATGAGTCTCACAGTTTCACATCTCAAAATTTTAAAAAAAATTTCAAAAGAATGGCAGACATAGATCAATGCGAAGGCCCCTAGGTTCAATCTCCAGTACAAAAAAAAAAAAAAAAAAGAAAAAGAAAGAAACCTAGAGGAATATCACCTAGAGTAATTAAGCCAGCTTGTTACTAGATAAATAACAGATGAATGAAATGGAATACAGGTTCAATACACACATGGAAATTGAGTAAATAATAAAGCTTCTATTTCCCAATAGGAAAAGATTAATAAAAAATGTGTTTTTTAAATATGTTAAGATGGGGAAAATATTTCTAAGTAAGACATACACCACAGAAGCTATGAGCTTGAGGAGGGGTAAAGCACATGCTTAGCATCCACAAGGGTGCTGAACATGTCCAAGGAAGAAAGAAGGGAAGAGAAAAGACAAAATACAGAAGCTACTCAGAAGAAATCAGATAGATTTAATTATCCAAAATTTTTTACATTTTGTACGGTAAAAATATTAAAAACATAAACTCAAAGAGCAGAGGGAAACTTAGGAAAAATTATTTGCAGCAAGCTATAATAAACAAAAGGCTAATTCCTTTTTTCTACAAAAATACTGCAATGAATTCTCAGATAAAGAAATAAGCATCTTATTGCAAAGGCAGTGTATGTGTCCACCAAAAATACTTTTAATATTCCATTTCACTGAGAATCAAAGAAGTATAAATAGAAAAAAGATACCGTTTTTACACATCATATTAACAGAAATGAAAAGCTGGCTACTGCCACTCTGGGCAAGGACACAGACATTTTCATGCACTGTGAGTGGCCACATCAGCTGGCCCAACCTGGTTGGCAGCAAATTGGTTATACACACAAAAATTAAAAACAAGCAACAACAACAACAAAAAGCATGATCTTTGACCTTACATAGTTATTTTCACTCAAGCATGTAAAGATACACAAACAAGGATGTTCACTGCAGGGCATGACGGTCCTCACTTATATTCCCAGCACTCAGGAGGCTAAGGCACGGTGCCACAAGTTCAAGGCCAGTCTGGGCTACACGGAGAGACCCTGACTCCAACAAAAAGAATGTTTGCTAAGGAGGAAAAAGAAAAACACACGAAACATGTCCATTAAGCAATGATTGGCTAAAGAAAGAAATAAATTTGCATTAAACTATAAAATGGAAACATGTTTTGAATCCAGGGCCTTTGCACAGTGCTATACATCCCCTGCCCTCTTTTCATTTTTTTATTTTGATACATGGTCTCAGTCACTAAGTTTCCCAGGCCGGCAATTTGTAAGCCTCCTGTTCCAACGCTCCCAAAGTGCTGGAATTACAGGTCTGCACTATCACACCCAGGGTATCACTTTTTAAAAGGGGAAACATCCTGTATGGATTACTTGGGCCTTGTGTGTACTACCCAAATCCTCTCCCACATCCTTGCCCTTTTATAAATTTTATTTTGAGATAGGGTCTTACTAAATTACCCAGTGTAGCCTCTAACTTTCAATCCTCCTGCTTTGTACAGCTGGGAATGGTGGCACACACCAGTGATATCAGCACTTGAGAGGCTGAGGCTAGAGGATCTCAAGTTCAAGGCCAGCCTAGATACACAGCAGAGATTACGTCTCAAACTCCCACATTGCCCCATGCAAAAAAAAAAGCTATCTGTAGAAGAGAAAATAAGATATATTAATTCATTTACTGTTACATTTTTTGCCTCTTTTTTCACAATTTCATTTACTCATTCATATGAATTGAAATCTGATGGATCTTTAGATGACTTAGGTGATGAGAGTAGAGTCCTTGTGATTACAGTTAGTCCCCTTACAACACAGAACCCAAAGAGCATTTCAGTTCTTCCCTATAAGAGAGGACTCAACCTCAAAGCAGCATCTGCAGCCCTAAGAAGCTCTCGTGTGAGCCCAGCCCCGATGGCATTCTGATCTCAATTTATTTCTCCAGAACTGTGAGAAATAAATTGTGTTGTTTATAAACTCCTCCTTTCATAGCTCTTTAAGACAGTCACTTAATATTTTATTGAGGACCACAATGCGTCACAACACAATGGAGGTTGGGTGTGATGGCTGCATTCTGCAGGGTAACAGGATGTTCTCAATAGAGTTGGGTTTTGTATTCAGTGGTGAAGGAAGACCATGCTGAGGATCTGCCATTTGAGCAGAAATTTGAATTAAATGAGGAATAAGCCTAGAAAATATTAAGGAGAGGGCTGGGGATATAGCTCAGTGGCATAAGTCCCTGCCAGGCAAGTACAAGGTCCTGAGTTGGATTCCTAGTGCTAAAAAAAAAAAGTAATAATAATAATTAGTGAGAGGAACTGGAGAAGAAAACTAGAGACAGTAAGTATAGTTTTCTTCTCATTGCTTTTGAGGGGTTTTGCTATACACAGGAGAACAAAAATAAATGGTAGGCTGAAGGGAGCTATAAAGTAAAAAAAAAAATTTTTTTTGAGACAAGATCTCATTATGTAGCTTAGGCTGGCCTCAAACTCCTAGCAAACCTCCTGCCTCAGCTTCCCAAGTACTGGGATTACAAGCATGGGCCACTAAGCCTTGCTTTTCTTTTTTCCAAGATGAGAGATATGAAACTGGGAAGTGACCTGAGGGTGCTGAACCATGCATGGTTGGGCTTAGGTTTCACTTTTTTTTTTTTTTTTTTTTTTTTGTCTTTTTCCTTTTTATCGGTACAAGGGATCGAACTCACAACTGCCTGCTTGCAAGGCAAGCGCTTATGCCGCTGAGCTAAATCCCCAGCCCCAGGTTTCACTTTCTTAAGGCTTTAGTATCATTTCCCTGAAAAGACTGATTTCCAGAATGATGCTGGCTCATCAAGGGAGGGGAGTATGCTGGTCAGAGGGAGGTCAGCATGCAGGTCAGGCAGCCAGAGAAAAGTCAAACCTAGAGGGAATCAGGATGACCCAGGGAAGGACAAGAAAAGAGGAAGCCTGGAACAGAGGGATAATAAAGAGCCTCATCTCAAGATGGGGACACAGTGGCCAAGGGGTCCCACGTTAAACTAGTAACTGGACAGTGGGACTGTCCAGTTGTGATAAAAATACAAGGTGACAGCCCCCCCACCAAGCCTCTATCTGTCCTCATCCGAAAAGTGCCTTTTGTCCCAGTCATCTGACATGCCGTCATTTCTGTGTATCAAAACCCCTAGATAAAGAGTTCCCAAGGCAACCTGCCCAGGTCACCTCCTGGTCTTGGGAGCTTTCTACTCTTGCTCTCCAATGAAAGCTTTTGCTTCCGTCTTGACTCTGTTCCTTGTAATTTTTTCTGGGTTGAGAGAAGAACCCACCAGCTGAACAGTGACATTACAGCATACTTGTCATCTGATACTATTGATTTATGAGAGAAGGAGATTGTGCTTGTTTTTTGAGACAGGATCCAAGAGGCAGCTAAGTTTCTCAGGCTGGGATCAAACTTGTGATTCTCCTCTTCAGTCTAGGAGTACAGGTGTGTGCCACACCCCGTGATGGTTATACAAGGCATAGTCAAAAAACATAATGTTTACATTTTTAAAAAGTTATTACAGGCCAGGGATTGAGTTTAGCATCACAAGTGCCTGTTTGGCAAGCAGGAGGTCATCCCTGCTTGGGATGTCTGATCCCCAGTAACCAAAAATAAATAAATTAATAAATTAAAAAAATATATATATATAATGAGGCTGGGGATATAGCTCAGCAGCACAGTGCCTGCTTGGTAAACACGAGGTCATGAGTTTGATCCCTGGTACCAAAATAAATTAATTAATTTAATTAAATAAATAAATAAATTATTACAATGAAAGGCACCAAGGGACAGACAGAATATGCCTTTCCCTGTCAGTTTTCTTTAAGAAAAGCAGTGTCAGCTTGTGGAAGTTCACTGGGAAGTTCACATGTTCCCTGAAGGAAAAGGAAGGGAAGACTCTTTAGTTTAATCATTAATTTCTGTCCCTTTACAAGTTAGTTAAGATAGTGAACAATTAAGTAATTCACTGGTTATGTGCTGGTTACTAATGTCACTGCAGCCTGTAATCTGTGTTTATAGTTTGTTGCTTTTTGCAGTTATAATTTTAATGACATTCAAAGTTTTTGTCTTCCTCTTTCAATTAATTTCCTGCCCAATGCTTTCTTTTCTTTGTTTTTAATTCCACACAGAGTATTCAATTCTTGCAATCATATTAATCTACCTGCTAGGGTATGCTTTAGTTTGTTTTGTTTTGTTTTTTGTTTTTATTTTCTTTATTTTGAGGCAAGGTCATGCTGCATAGTTCAGGCTGGCCTCAAACTCACAGCAATTCTCTTGCCTCAGCCTCCCAAGTTGGAAGCCTCCTGGGAGTGCATGAGAAGAGGAGTCTGAGTCATATTCATTTTTGGACAGCATCTTTCAAGCTCTATGTACGGTCTGTGGATCTCCTGGAATCCAGCTATGGGTCTAGTCCTAAGTTGGGGAAATGAGACCATAGAGTCTCAGGTGGACTGGAGAGCCAACAGCATCATCTGATAGAAGCACAGAGCCCAACCACATATCCCACCACCACCCACCCTGCACGCTCATAGCATCTTTTCTTCCCTAGTCACATACACCTGCATGCATAGTCTAAGCAGGAAAACTCAGAACCATCTACACCTGTTCATGCTCAGGCTTTCTTGTGGTCACATTACCTACTCAGCATTATCACCTCACTTATACTGTGTGCCACATCCTGGTCTACAAAATCACAGCCCGAGACTACCACCAACCTTGAGCAGGTGAGGCAACTGCTGGGTGACCAACTCCTGAAACTCACTGATGCTGAGGCTGCCCTTCCGGCCTTTCTGCCTTGCAAAGGTGAAGAAAGTGGTGACCACTGTCTCGATGGCGGCCTCCAGCTCAGTCAGTGGCTCGGCTGCCATTAGGATCCAGGAGCTGGAGATGATGTCTCACGGGGCTGACCTGCAGGACAGGAAAGGAACAGAGTGCAAGGTCTGAAAGCCCAGGATCCAGGATTGCCTTGGTGTTGCCTCAGGTTTCTGCAGGGAATAGAGAGGGAACAGGAGTTTGGTTTGGAGGAAGGGCCATGCAATGGTATTCCACTTTAGGCTCAATTCCAGAAACCCCTTTTTCTGTGGGTTTTATAGTCTAGGCGTCCTTTTTACTGTCTTCTGTGGTACAAGACCCCGCTGTCTGGTGGTCCCCTGGGGTCTCTGTCCCAAGAGCCCCTTCTTGTCTTTCCTTACAATTGCAAAGGGTCAGGTGTCTCCAAAGCCTGTTTACATTGGGTTACGAGTTTCCGCCTGCACACACACTGGCCACTCTTCCCAGCAAAGAAGCGGGGGCTGGCAAAGGCCCAGCTGTGGTCAGAGCTGGCTCAGTCTGGCCAGACCCATCTTCTCTGCACCCCCATTCTAGAGGACAGCTGAGCAGAGTGCCAAGCACTGGACCCCAAAGGACACTCTCCTGTCTCCGGATGACAAGGTTCTGGCACGGGGTTACTCTAGCTCCCCAAGGCCACAGGGGGCTTGGTCGGGACATTCACTGCCCCCAGGGTATAAGGAAAGACTAGCGAACCGTAAGGAGCTGCCCACCCCCTCATTTCCGCACACATGGCGGCACTCACACACTCCCACCCAGACTGTCGCCTGCTCTCCTAAAGCCACTTCCTGAATCCTCTTTGAGCCAGCAAGTCGGATGGGAGGTACCAAAAAGGATCCTCAGACTCCCCCCAGGGTCCACTCACCAAGGCTAGGAGATGGGCACTGGGAGCAGCAACCTGTGGACTGTTTATAAGCACCGCTAGCCGCTGGGAGGGAAAAGAGAGCCACTCCCCAGCCCCTGCCGGAGCTATCAAGTTTCCGAGCTGCCTGCAGAGGAGGGAACAGTCCAATCACGGCTCTGGTCCACTCGGGAGCAGCGAGCAGCGAGGGTCCTAGATGTTATCACTCCCAATGCTGTACTGGGACCAGCTGGCCCATTACACCCCAGAGCTAATCAGGAGTGCTGTTGGGGATAAGGGACAGGGACATAATGGGAGAAACTGCTAATTTTGTTTTTGCTCTGATTTGTTTTGTTTTTGGTACCGGTAACTGAATTCAAGCCCTTGGGCTTGCCAGGCTGGTGGTGTGTCACTGAGCTATATGCTGGGCCCATTTTGTTTTGATTTGGTTTGAGACAGGGTCTTACTCTATAATTTAGGCTAACTTTAAACTCACTATATTGCCCAGACTGCCCTCGAGCTCTCACTGTTTTCCTGCCTCAGCTTCCTCAGTGCTGGAATTACAGGCACGTGCTACTGAGCCAGACACAAATGCTTACTTTCTTTTTTTTTTTTTGGGGGGGAGGGTGTACAGGGAATCAAACTCACTAAGCTAAATCCTCAGCCCTCAATTGCTAACTTTATTTTTTTTTTTTTCCCTCAATTGCTAACTTTAAAAAAGCAACTTGCTGGGAATACAGGTCAGCAGCACAGTACCTGCCTGGCAATCGCAAGGTAGTGAGTTTGATTCCTGGTACAAAATATTATAATAATAATAATAATAATAATAATAATAATAATAATAAGGCAACTGAGCCAGCAGAGGTGTCAGATTCTTACAATCAGAGTTTTCTGGAAGGTTAAAGCAGAAAAATCCCAAATTCAAGCCCAGTCTGGGAAACTTAAGTGACTTAGTGAGACTGTCACAAAAAAATAAACTAAAATAAAACAAAATAAAAATTAAAAAGGACATGAGACGTTGCTCAGTGCTGAGACCCTGGGTTCAATTCCAAAAAAGAAAAAGCACCTGAGCGTAATATGAAAACTAGATACTTTAGTGGACCCTGCAGACCAAAACCCTTTCTGAGGACCCCAGTTACACAGCTGGACGCCCACAAACAGAGGGATCCAGGCTGAAGCCACCACAGAAGAGTCTCCAGAATGATACCCCTCAGGGAAGTCTTAACAGAAACCTCTCAAGAAGACCCCCAGGTGAAGATCAGGCTAAGTCTCCTCCACAAATCCTCCCTCTCCCCTGCTCAGCCAGCAGAGCTGGCTCCAGGATTCCCAGAGCCCAGCAGGCTGAGACATCTCTGTCCCTCCCAGGATCCCCATTCTACCTTCTCCCTCCTGTCTGCGGTGCCCAGTGGGGTGGGAAGAGACACTAGCAGCCTGTTCCAGCCCAGGAGACAGAGGGCGCCTCTGTCCACTCCTGGCCCCTGGCCTCACTGGGTGTCTGTCTGTGAAGGAAGGGGTGGAGCTGGGGGGTTGGGAGGGGAAGGGCCCCTAAAGACAGGTCTCACACAGCTCCAAGAGCCACACTTGCTGTCTCCGCCGTCCACCCAGAACCTGCTCCCACCAACTGTAAGTATTATACAGCCCCAACTGGGCTGGGGCGCTGGCCCGGTCAGTTGAGGACCCCCAAAGGCCCAGGCACTGGGGTACCCTGAGGGTCTGGGAGCAGTACTGGCAGTTTGAGGACAGTTTGGGACATAGCAAGGTGAGTCGAGTGAAGGTCAGAGTGGTCCGTGGGGAAGCTGGCACCCAGATCCGAGAACATACTAGGTCCTCCCCTCATACACCAGTCCCCTGCCAAGGCCCCCCTCAGTCTCCCAGGCTTGAGGAAGGGCCTGAGCGCTGGCCTTGCTTCCAGTGGAGTAAGAATAAGAGAGCAGAACAGCTGTTCGTGTCCTCTGCCAGCTTCAGTCTCTGCTGCACACCCATCCTTGCCAAAAGCCAGGTCCCCAGGAAGCTGGGGGGGTGGGGGGTGGAGGAGCATGAAGAGGGACCCCAGGGTCTGTGCTCCTCCCAACTCTACTGCATAGGACCTCCATGAAGTAGGCCCCTGCCTACTCCTCTTGCCCCAAATTCTTTCCTCTTTGTTTTCCCACTGCCCAGGTCCTCCCAGAACTGCCCCTCATACAAAATCCCAAGCTGCTGGGGGGCTCTGAGCAAACTCCAGGTGCCCCTCCTGCTGGGTCTGGTAACTGAGCCACCAGCATCTCTCCCTGAAGCACAGCCTTATCCCCTCCATCAGCCCTGGCTTGGGTTTCATCTCCCCCATGACTCTTTGACAATGGCTTCTCATGTCCTGGAGTTCAGGTGACACTCACAAGGGCCCCATTGAAGAGCTGGGATGTCATCCGATCATCAGGGCTCATTGTCCAGTCCCCCAGGCCTGGAGAAGGATGGGGCCACCTGATCTGAGTTACTTGAGCTCCCACTAGGGCTGGGAAGGCCTGACTGAGTCCCCTGTCTTGGCAGGTTCTCCTCCCTTCATTCTCCCGCTCATTCCCAGCCCCCTGAACTCAAAGGGCCCAGAGACTGGGCCCTTCATCTCCTCCAATACATACCAGCCCCACTCCCTGATCCCGCTGTACCCCTTCAGCCAAGTGGGCAGCCACACCCCAAGCCTGCAGGCTTCCTCTCCGCTCCCTGGGAGCTCAGTCTCTAGAGGCAGGACACAGACATTCCTCTCTTCCTTCCTCCCACCCACCTGATGGAGGGGATAATTTTGCTGAGAAGAGGAAACTGAAGGCAGTGAGAGGCACACTCCACCGAAGTCATAATGACATCTTAAAGACAGAAGGGACTTACACAGACCAAAGGAGGCCCTCAGGTTGCTGACAAGGAGCTCTGTGGCAGTGGGGCTCCCCTCCCCAGAAGCCACAGCTCCCTTCTCGAGCTACCATCCCTCTATCAGGCTCCCCAAGGACTCCTCACTAACTCTGAGCTGGGGCAGGCAGCAGAGTCAAGGCTGTGGAGACCTGGCCCACTGTGCCCAACAGATTAGCTTGACAGTGTTAGGCTGCAAAGTCTTGGGTAAAAATAGAGCCAGAAGCCATCCTGGTCCTGTGACCACCCTGCCAGCCCCACCCACCCGGTCTCTGCCAGAGGAGACACTACAGACATCTCCTGCAGGCCTCTAGAGCCAGCCCAGCTCAGGGTGCTCGCTCTCCATGCCCAACCCTGACTTCCGGTGGCAGGGTACAGGTTTAGGACACGGAGCACATGCCTGCTTTAGGTGTGCCAGTTGCCCACACTATAAAATCTCAGTGAAAGACAAACTACAGTCAGGCTCCCATCTTGCACTATTTACACTGGGAACCAGTGCCAAGCCTGAGGGATCCCCTCACCTGGTCCCCAGCTCACTTCCATGGTTGGGCAGGTAGGTGTGCTGCCACAATGGGCTCTGAGCTGGAGACTGCAATGGAGACCCTCATCAACGTGTTCCACGCCCACTCGGGCAAGGAGGGGGACAAGTACAAGCTGAGCAAGAAAGAACTGAAAGAGCTGCTGCAAACTGAGCTCTCCGGCTTCCTGGACGTGAGCATGAAATGGGGTACAGGGTGGTGGGGTAAGAGCCGGGAGGATGGGTTGGGCGTCTCCTTGTCACCTCCCCACCCCACCCCCAGCTCAGCCCAGTCATCACCCTCCTCTCCCAGGCTCCTCCACGCTCCCCTGCTTACTGATCATCTAGTAAGCAGTAGTCCCTGAGCAGACTCCTCGGTAACAAGGTTCATAGTCTAGAAGGGAAAGACTGGTGCTTGGAAGCAAACCATGACTCCAGGAGGCACACAGAGCCTTCACGGAGGTGCCAGAGACGCCGGGGGACTAGTGACATGATGGAAGTCAGCTGGCTTCTCTGAAACGGCCACACTGGAGCCACACGCTCCCATTGGAAAACAGTAGGGTCACTAAGGACGTTTCAGGAGGCATCTGTGAGAATGAAGAAGAATTTGGAACACGACCAGTAGTTTCATTTGACGGAGGATATAGAAAAACACTGCAGATGCTAAGAGGAGCTGCACAAAGAAGCCTGGGGACGCAGCAGAAAGTCCACCTTTGCAATTTTACTGCACTGTGTTCAAAGTCTGGCCCTGCTACTTTCCAGTGGTGTGACCTGGGGCATATGTGTCTAACCCTGAACTGTCAGTGTGACTGTTCTCTAGAATAGAAATAATGAAAACAACCCCATACTTTTTCCCCTTTGGTTCTGGGGGCTTCACCTTTACTACCCAAGTGCTCTACCACTAGGTTATACCCCAGCCCTTTTTCACTTTCCTTTTAGGGTCTCACTATATAGCTCTGGCTGGCCTTGAACCCACTATGTAGTCCAGGCTGACCTCCAATTTGAGAGGATCCTCCTTCCTTAGCCTCTCAAATGCTGGGATTATAGGCAATCACCATCAAGGCTGGTTCCCCACCCCTTTTTATTTTGAGATAATGTTTCACTAAATTACTAAGGTTGGCCTCAAACGTGCAATCCTCATGGCTCACTCCCAAATAGCTGGGATTATAGGTGTGTACCACTGCACTCACCCAGCCATTGCCATACTAGAATTAAATTAGTAGCCAGGTTTGATGGTACACACCTGTAATCCCAGCACTCAGGAGGCTAGGCAGGAGGATTGCCATGAGTTCAAGGCAAGTATGAACTACAAAGTGAGACTCTGTATCAAAACAAAACAGGCTGGAGATGTAGCTTAGTGTGAAGCCCCTAGGTTCAAATCCTAGTACTGCAGAATAAAAAGACAGTACCCATAAGGCTGCCAGTGTAGTACCTGTCACATTGCAGACAATCAACCTAAGGCAGTGATGGCAAGCCTTTAAGAACTTTCGGTGATACAGCCTGCTGCAGAATGTGTACCCTATATCTAGGTTCACTACCACTGATACAGTGATTGATGCTATTATTAACAGGTTAAGGAGTCTGTTCTATAGACAACAGAAGCCCAGAGTGTCTGGAAAAGACACAGAGGAATGGACAACCATTCTCTTTCATAGGCATCTCCACCTCACTGTCCTCCACCACCCCCTCGCGCTGGCCTAGTCACAGCACCTCCCCTTACATCCTTCCCTCCCTCTCCTCCTTCTCAGGCTCAGAAGGATGCAGATGCAGTGGACAAGGTGATGAAGGAGCTAGATGAGAATGGAGACGGGGAGGTCGACTTCCAGGAGTACGTGGTGCTGGTAGCTGCTCTCACTGTGGCCTGTAACAATTTCTTCTGGGAGAACAGCTGAGGAGACAGCCCCAGGGCAGCGCCTTCCCCTTCACATGCTTCACCTCACCCCAGCTATGACTCCCCACAGTCCCACCTTTGCCTGCCCCCTCCACACACACCAAGGAGCAGGAGAGCAGGCCGGCGCTGCAACTTATCTTCATTAAAGGCTCCTTTCGCTAGCCACAAGTGTCTGTCTCCTCCTGGATCTAGTGGGTGGAGGAGTGCAGGCTGCACACTCCTAATTCTTAACTTTGCATTGCATCCTCCAACTTGGGAGAATGCTCAAAGCCCAGAAATGTGGGCCCCAAGGTTCCAGCTGGAAATGAATTTCACAACTGTAAAATCAGAAGAAAGACTGCTTTCAACTCTATACCAGTATTTACTGAAGTCCTACACGTGCTAGACACTGTGTAGGAAGTGGGAACACAGCAGTATGCAAAATACACTTGCCCTCACCTGGGTAAAGACAAGGACTATTATGGGACCACCCCAACACACACACATACACACAAGCTAGGAAGGAAATGACAGGGTTCTGATCACACCGGAGATGGGAGGATGCGTTGACAGCGTGCTCATTCATTCACCCCGCAGACATCTGAACACCTCATTGACTTCGCAGCGTTCACAAAGCATCTCTTTGGCTCTGCCCCCAAATTCACATGGATGCCAGGTAGGAGGGAAGATGTAGAAGGGAAGAGGCAGGCCAAGGGTCCCCTAAAGAAGGATCATGCGTACCCAGGCCAAGGTAGGGGAGAGACAAGAGGAAAACGGGGACAGCGGCAGTGGCTGGTGCAGGACCCGCCAGGTGCGATACCGAATGTGCCTCCATTCACCCACTCACTACAGTGAACACGCGATTGGGGAGGGACGAATACCCAGTTGCGGTATTCAGGAAGAGACCGAGGCAAGTCCTGCATAAAGATTTGTTCATGGAGCCCGAAGGACTAGGAACACTTTTTATCCTGATACAGCTGCTCACTGCGGCCTAAATCCAGAGGGCAATTTCAGCCTGGAAAACGAACCCCCAAAGCGCCATACCGGTCTGGCCACGCCCCTTAAGGGCGGAGCGCGCCCAGGAAATCCCTAAAGTGCCCCGCCTGATTCCTGCGCAGGCGTACACACATCTTCCCGCGCCCCTAGTTGCGCGCGCATCTGACGTCTGACGTACATGCATCGACGCCATTTTAGCCGATCCCATTCCGCATTGGGCGTGGTGGCCATTTTGTTTTGGACATCGAGCGGGAGTTCGCCTCGAAACTGGTGTTAGAGACGAAAGGCAGGAAAAGGCAGGCCGGGCGAGCAAGTGGATCGGCTAGTGAGTAAGACGCCAACCCCAACGAGCGAACGTCGCCATCTATCACGCATCGAACCAACCGCCCACCTAATCAACCCGAGCCCTTCATCGTCCACTCGGGTTCGGCCGGTCCCCGGCCCTCCTGCCGCAGCCGTGGTGGCAGCCCCGGGAGGAGCACTGGCGTCCGTTTCCTTCGGTGCGTTCCTGTGGAGGGGAGTCGGGGCACGGGCGCGGAGGTGTCGCGGGGCCCACGAGGGGGCGGGGCCCGGCACCGTGGGGAGGAGCTGAGTTGCGCCGCGGCGGGAGCGCCCGGGTGCTGAGGTCTCCCGGGCCGTGGGAGGCTCCGCGGTCTGGGGACGCGCACCTGTAGTCCCAGCGCACGGGAGGCTGAAGCTAAAGAGACACCTAGGAGTGGTTTGGGAGCCCTGGCTTGGTGGCGCACGCTTGTGATCGCAGCCCTCCGGAGGCTGAAGCTGGAGGATGGCAGTTGGAGCCCATCGTGAGCAATTTGACCACTTAACGAGATTCTGTCGCAGCATTTAAAAAGGTCTAGGAGTGAATTTGGGTTCAATCCCAGCGCCTTATTTTTTTTTAATGGTAGCGAGATTAAAGACTACAGCACTTCTCAGCAACGTCAGGGTTAAATTTTGAAGAGGTTGTCCAAGAGCTAACTGCCTGCCAGCTGAATGCCCATTTGGGAAAGTACTGAGCTACTCTGCCCTAAATCCATAGTCGCTTACCGAGGCCCCCTACTTGATTTTGGAAATGAAACTCATTTTTAGGATTAGACATGTCTAGGTATGCTAGATCGTGTCTCTCAAATTTAGCTACATATAGGAAGCACTTAGGGAGGTTTTTGTGTTCTCTCCAATTGCAGATCCTCAGCCTCCACCTCCAAAGATTGCAGTTTGATTGGTCTGCACCCAGTCATCTGTTGACATTCCCTAGCTAAGTCATATTCAGCCAAGGTTGAAAAGGGCAGTTCTAGATAAAAAGCCAGACTCTCAACACTTTAACGGTACCCATTTCTGCCCTTTTGGACATGACATGTTTTCTGTCCTGCAGCTTTGCAGTTTTAATAATTAGAAGTAACTGTCATATAAATTTAAAACACTTGAGCTGGGTGTGGTGGCCCACACCTGTAATCCCAACACTGAGGAGTCAGAGGCAGGAAGATTGCTGAGTTTGAGGCCAGCCTGATCTGCATAGCAAGACCCTATCGCAAGAAATACCTCCCCCCCCCAAAAAAAAATATTTAAAGCACTTAAAAAATGAATTTTGGCCGAATCTTCAAAATGATACAGGCTTTTTTAGTCATTGCTCATTTCAGCCTTGCCCCATGTGGAAATGAAGTGGCCATTATTCTGATTTGCTTGTTCTACTTACTGTCCTTTATAGATCCTCGGGATTTGAAGATGGCTGCCCAATCAGCGCCGAAAGTTGTGCTAAAAAGCACCACCAAGATGTCTCTAAATGAGCGGTGAGGCAGCCAACAGCAACTTCAGCTCCTTCCTAAGAAAACATTACTTAAATTGGCCCTGGGGTCCAATGCACAAAAACCAGTTGTAAGCTAAATAGCAACAGAAGGCTACAGACCTCTGTTATTAGTTGCATCTCATGTGGTACACAAAACAAATTGGGCAGTTGTTTCAAAACCCCTTACCAGTAGATTTTTATGTTAAACTGTCTGAAGTGTTTGTCTGGTGGGATGTATTTTAAAGGACTCCTCACACCCTCCCTTTTCTTCAGTTTTTTTACATTGATACAGGGGTGGTGCAGCATGGTAGAGTGGTATACCCCAGCTGCAGTAGGCTTGCTGCCCAGTCCAAGGCCAGCAGTGTTGTGTCTGGCCTGTAAGAGGCAGGTAGCAAGCCATGAATATGTCCAAAGGCCCTTGAATGTCATTCCTGGGCCTTGTAAGAGGCACTTGCTTAGCTCCATTTCACTTTCTTTCCAATTCTGCTTTTTAGTTTGTTTTTGTTTTGTATTCTTTTTAACAGTTAAATGTTCTTCTGTTTCACTCCACTAAACTTAAATGTGACAGGAACATCTTCGTAAGTCTCTTAATTACTGAACTAATGTAACTCAGAATTACTCACATGGAGTCAAAAAAATGATTATTTGGAACTTCAAAAAATTAAGGTATTTAAAAACAGTTTCTAACCTTGAATGTTTTGTTCATTCAGTGCCTTTGGCCAATGATTTTATCAAGTTGTACTTAGTACTTTAAGAGATACAGTATCTATTTTTGCTTCTTCTGAAGTATATATACTTCTTATCTTTTAGGATACTCTATATTCTAGTTATATTCACGTTACTGACATGTTTTTAGATGTGATGCACTCCTGTAATTTATATGGGTGTATTATTTCCACAGGCTGTTCTGGTGCTCTAGGCTGTTCTCATATTTGCCCTCAAAATGAACCCTTGAGTCCCCCAAGGTTTTGGCTTTCTTCGTTTGTCTTTGAAACTGCATCTTCTGTTTCTTGTCATCATATCTGCTTATTGCGTGTTTTTCATACTTTCCTGTCTAAGAGCTGTTATCTGAGCCCTTGTTATCACCTTTGATTGAATGTGCTGCCCTTAGCTGCATTTCTAAATTTCCGACTCTTGCAAGTTTGTGGAAAAAGAGGAGTCTAACCCACATCAGCCATGATCTAAATGTACCACTTTACTTAAAGTTCATGGGATCTGAAGCTCCTGGTCTAGCAAGCCATGAAAATGCCCATAAATGTTTTGTAATAAAGCTTTTGTTTAAACATCCATTTTGTTCGACCTTGAAGCTTTACTAACATGCTGAAGAACAAACAGCCGATGCCAGTGAATATTCGGGCTTCGATGCAGCAACAACAGCAGCTAGCCAGTGCCAGAAACAGAAGACTGGCCCAGCAGATGGAGAATAGGCCCTCTGTCCAGGCAGCGTTAAAACTTAAGCAGGTGAGAGAATGAGACTTTATTACGGTGAAGCAGCTGTGAGCTGTGTCAGTCCACTGAGGCTGTCAGGATGAGATGGATGATTACAAGGTGGCTCAGGGCAAACCCTGAAATTTCTCTGAAAAAGTTGTTCAGCAAATTATAATTTTGGCAGGTATATATAAGTAATTTTTTATTGTCTTTCTCTTTTAGGGAGTTTACTTACCATCTTTGTGGCCTGCTTATGTTACCAATGAGGACTGTTTTTTCATCCTTTACTCTTAAAGTAGATTTATGGGGTTCTGAGTTTTGTTTTGTTTTGTTTTTACAAGGGCACTTTGTTTTAGGGTAGGGAGTATTTGCCTAGCATGTACAAGGCCCCAGTTTGTCCCTAGTACTCCAAAAAAAAACCTTTGTTTTACATAAAATCTTCAAAGCATCCTTTATTCTCTGTTAAATGATTTACAACCTAGAGAAACAATTTTATTCTTCCCCACATCAGGGAGTCATGAACGACTGTAGTCAAAAGTTTTTCAGTGCTAAAATATGCTGTGACACTGAATTCCACAGCATTTGAAATATGATAGAGCAAGAGTACTGAGTGGTTGTTAGTGCGTTCTCTTTCAAATTTCCATTAAGAAATCATTCTGTTCAGACCTAAAATAAAACCTGCTCTTTATCATTCATAGACTTTATATGCAAGTCCGGACAGTGCCTATGGAAGGATATGTCCAAGCTGTGGCTGGGCGTCTGGAGGGCGGTGCCATGCAACTGTAAGGACTTTAACTGGTAGCACTGCATGGCTGTGCATAAATGCAGCAGTTAAATATAACATCCTCCCATCCCCACTCTAAACTGTTGGCCTCACTGACCAAAAATAAACAAGGCTTTCAGCTTCAGCTACCTTAAGCCTTGGAGTCATCCTTAATTCAGGAAATCAGCAAATAAAAAACACCAATAAAAATTGCT